TGCTGCTGCTGCTGCTGCAGTGGCGTTGCTGACGCCTGGGGGGGAACAGCTCGAACCCCTTGTAGAGCGCTATCTGTCGCACGTCTCCCCGCCACAGCATCGGTAAGGGCCCCAGCAGCAGCAACAGCACCAGCAGCAGCAACAGCACCAGCAGCAGCAGCATCAGCAGCAGCAGCAGCGGAGCCTAGCAGCAGCAAAGCAGCAGCAAAGCAGCAGCTAAGACCCCCTAAATGAAGTTGGGAAGTTTCCCTCACTCTGTTGCCTGCACCCGATGCTTCTTGCTGCTGCTGCCACCAACACTGCTGCAGCAGCTGCTGCTGCTCTTTGCGGGGTGCTGCGGGTGCTGCTTCTGCTGTTTCTGCTTCTTCTCCTCTTTGTGTATGCCTGTTGCTGCACCTCGCAGCCTTTTGAATTATCGTTTGCACCAGGTAGACCCTAAACCCTAAACCCTAAACCCTAAACCCTCATTTCTGTGTTTGCTTTTGCACAGCTTTGATGGTCCAGTGCCTTTTTTATCTCTGGTTAAATCTACAAAAGAGCGGAGACTCCTCTGCGGCCTTCAAGACGAGCAATCTGCTTTCTTCCTCACCCCTAGGGGCCCCCTAGGGGGGGGCCCCCAAGAAAGCCCCCTAGGGGGGGGCCCCCAAGGGGGCCCCAGAAGCGGGGGGGCCCCTGGGGGCCCTCAGTTGTGTGGGCAGGAGGACGTATTGTATAAGGAAATGGAGACAGCTTATTTTCAAGCAGTGTACGACGAGGTGCACGGGGACGCAGCTATTGAGGTGCCTTACTCACTGTGCTGCTGCTGCTCTTGCTGCTGCTGCTGCTGCTTCTCCTCCTGTTGCTGCTGCTGCTTCTCTTGCTGCTGCTGCTGCTGCTGCTGATGCAGGAGTTGTGGCGGCGTTTGCTCGCACGCCAGCAAGGGCATTTCTTTGCTGTCTGCTGCAGGCCCTAGCATACGGTGGGGCCCCCAGAGCGGGGGTACCGCTAAAGGGTTTGGGGGCCCCCATAAAGGGTTTGGGGGCCCCCCTAAAGGTGTTAAGGGGCCCCTCTGCAGTAGATGCGTACTATGATTTTATATCTTCGCATTCCTTTTCAATTTGTCTCCCCTTTCGCTTAAGAGCTGTGGGGGCCCCAAAGGGGGCCCCCTGCAACTTCTTGGGCTTTGGGGGCCCCCAGGGGGGCCCCTATGGGAGGCCGGAAGAGGGGCTCCCTGAAGGCGATTGCCCTGATGCAGCTGCTGCAGCAGCTGCAGCTGCTGCAGCTGGGGGCCCCCCAAGTCCTGTGTGGCTGAGCACCTTGTACGCAGTGGAGTTGTCTTTCTCTCTTTCTCCTTCTTATGAGCCCCTCTCGAGTGTCTGCATACCTTTCCTGCAGTGCCCTCTAGGGGGGCCCCCCGGGGGCCCCTCAGGGGGGCACCAAGGGGGGCCCTCAGGGGGGCCTCATGGGGAGGGCCCCTTGACAGAGCAGGAGGAAGAGATACTGCAGAAGGCCTCTCAGGATGCCTTTCCCTTCGACTATGAAATAATTCTCAAGTAAGCACAGCAGCAGCAGCAGCAGCAGCAGCAGCAGCAACTGCAGTTGCAGCAGCAGCAGCTGCTGCTGCTGCAACTGCAACTGCTGCTGCCTCTATCCTTGCCCAGACCTCCATGCCTTGCATGCGCATGCATGCATGCATGCATATTTTATAGTGGTGCATGCATTTGTTCAGGCTGCAGCCGATTCGGCCGGAGCCTGCGGTGTTTTCAGTGGAGACAAATTTTATAGACAGTGAAGGGGCAATGTACATCGGCAGCTTGTCTCCTTTCTCTGTCTCCTTACAGGACCTCTTCTTACCCGTCAGCTGCTGCTGCTGCTGCTGCTGGTGCTGGTGCTGCTGCTGCTGCTGCTGCTGGTTGTGGTGGTGGGATGCTGCTGTTGTTGCCGCTGCTTCTGCTTCTTTTTCCTGTGTGTGCTTGCCGGGGGTTTTGGGTCCTTCTTGCGAAGAGCTTAAACCCTAAACCCTAAACGCTAAACCCTTGAGCATGCACCCCGTGCAGGTTATAGGTGTATGTTGCATGCATGCAATGCATGCAATGCATGCGCTGTCTCCTTTTGGGGCTTCAGATTTGTGCACCTCCTGAATTCCGTCCCATCCTCTTCGCCGCCATTTGGAGCCGACCAGACGTAGCGAAATCGGTGAAGGTTCGTTAGGGTTTAGGGTTTAGGGTTTAGGGTTTAGGGTTTATTGCCGAGGGTTTACGTTCAGGGAATAGGGTTCAGGGCCTAGTGCCTAGTTGTTTTGGGTTTAGGGATCAGGGTCTATTGTTTAGGGTTCAGACCCTAGGGTTTAGGGTTTAGGGTTTAGGGTGTATAGGGAGTGCTGCGTATAAGAAGATTGGCTTGTGTGTGGTGTTTGTGGGGTGTACAGACACTAGATTTGGAGCGAGCGGTGGTGCTGCAGATGATAGAAATGTCTCTAAAACCTTTCTTAATTGAGGGGTATATCTCTGCTGAGGAGGAGCCCTTTGATTTCTCTAGGGTGGGGCTTTGCATGCACTCTCTGCATGCAGTGATTGTGTCTCCCTGGATAAGCGGCATCAGCAGCAGCAGCATGCGCTGCAGCAGCAGCAGTTGCAGCAAAACCAGCTGCAGCAGCTGCAGCAACTGCAGCTGCAGCAGCAGCTGCAGTTGCAGCCAAAGCAGCACCTACAGCAGCTACAGCAGCTGCAGCAGCAGCAGCATTTGCGTCTGTTTGTGTCTGCATGCATGCAGGACGACTCCATGCAAGAAGGAAGAGAGGAGGAGTCGCCTGCTGCTGAAACAGGGGCCCCCTCGTCGAGACCCTTCTCCTTGGGGACCCCTTCCCTTGGGGGGCCCCCCCTCTCGGGGGCCCCCAAAGACAGTGCGCCATCTACTGAGAGACCCATGACCAGGGGAGATGAACTGGAGGAGCAGCAGCAGCAATCTTCACCTACGGCAGCAGCAGCAACAGCAGCAGAAGCAGCAGAAGCAGCAGCAGAAGCATCAGAAACAGCAACGGCAACAGCAGCAGCAGCAGAAACCCCACAACTTCAATCTATGGAGGTGTTTGTAGACCAATACTTTGAGGGGCAAGTGCCTTATGAAGATATCCTTGAGGGTTGTAGCAGGCCAGAGGCCCCTTATCTTTCTCGAATGGGGGGCCCCCTAGAGGGCACCCCTTCTGTGGGGGCCCCCCCTGAGGGGGCCCCTTCCCCTTCTGTGGGGGCCCCCCATGAGGGGGCCCCTTACCTCGGGGGGCCCCCCATCGAAACCCTGCATGCACTTATCTTCCTCCCTCCCCGCTACCACCTGCTGCTGAAGTTTAATATATCTGCAGCAACAACTGTTGTACGCTGCGCCACTGATCGATGGGAGGCCCTCGGCTACCTAGAGGCCTTCTTCGCTAGAACATATGCACTTGCTATTGCAACAAGGGGCCCCCAGGGGGGCCCCCCTGAGGGGCCCCCTACAGAGGGGTCCTATCCTAAGGGGGCCTCCTATGAGGAGCCCCTTCCAGAGGGGGCCCCTCATGAGGGGTCTTCTCCAGAGGGGGCCCCCGCTGATGGGGCCTCCTCTACAGAGGGGGGCCCCCCTGATGGGGCCCCCTCCAAGGTGGAGGTGGAAAGCTGGGGGCCTCAGTAAAGGCCTGAAACAAACATTTACTTGCACAGCACACCATTATAATATATATATATATATATATCTATATATAATATATATATATATATATATATATTTGTATGTCTGCGCACTGATGTATACAAATTAAATAAATTATGTATATAAACAAAAATGCTGGAGATAGAAAAGTGAAGGAGTGATGATGTTCATTCCAGCGGGGGTTTTGCTGCATTCTTTGGGTACTCATATATATATGTATAATATATATATATATATATATATATATATAGGTATATATATGTATATATATGGGTGTCATAGAGAACGACGGGCTGCATTTTTATTGCATGCAGCAAAACGGGGGCCCCGTTTTTCTGAGTTTTTTCATTTAAATGCATGCATATGCTTACGGTGGGTATAGTGCCTATATGAAAGGAAATGTAGCAGCAGCAGCAGCAGAAGCAGAAGCAGCAGAAGCAGCAGCAGCAGCAGCAGCAGCAAAGGGCGGCAAGTCAGGAGCAAAAATCTGTATCATTAAAACAAAGTCTGCCCTTTTAACAACAATAGAAAGAAAAAAAAGCTTCTTCATCTCAGAGTAATATCTTTAAATATCCTCAGAATGTTGTATTACGATAAAACATATTATTATCAATTTAAAAAGAATTATAAAAGTTGTTTAAATAATAAATAATAATAATGAAGATACAGAGCAAGTCGTAGAAAAGGAAGGGGTATTATGTATATACGTATATGTACGTAATAATTTTTAATAAAAATTAACATTTTGCATGCATTATTGATATTATAGAT